ATCGAGCGCAGAGCATCTCTTGATGTGGGTAGTTTGCTAAAGTAGGGCCCCTTTCTAAATCCCCAATGTAGTACGGCACCCTTATAAAAGGGACCCTAATTTAGAGAAGTACCCATGTTATTTCGACGGAAAGTCTTTGCCGACGCTCCCTACTATCCGAGTCCCCGCCTGACATGCTGAACACCACGCGAAAGCGAAAAGCACCTGACGCCCCAGACGATTCGTGCCCGGGTGCCCCTGCACGAGCTTTGTTGAGCAAGTGGGAGTGGGGCCAAGGAGCCCTACTTGTTGATAGAAACATGCACGTTTTTTTGCTTTTCTTAACTTGTCAGAAGCTGTGTTAGCTGTGTGTCAGGTGTGATGTGCTCGATGGTACAGGAATTGAGCCGCGCACGTTTTTCAAGGGTCTTACAAACGGGAAAAACGGCATTGGCTGTCATCGTAGTGTATAGTATAGTACTGCTCCAGAGCGAATCTCAGTATGTGCATGACACGCAGGATGCCTGCTGAAAACGGATCGGAGTCAGTTATTTGAAGTTAGTTAACATTACTTGGCAGGTTGCCAGTCCTTTCGACGCGAAGCCATCGCTTGCGTTTGAACGCGTGGAAGGCGCTGTTGCCCGACCCCGACGCATGGGAAGGTGTCGGAGCCTTAATGAGCCGCAGCAAACAATTAGCAGGGCAGCAAGAATTCAACCAGTTCCAGACATTCAGTTGGTTCAAAAACAGTGTTGCTTCAGAGCCGCTATCATTGTTCAGATACTTGCGATGCCTAGTCTCGCAATCATTTCGTTGGCAGCAGTTCGGGGCACGACCATGTCTGGCTGGATTCAGAAGTGTTGTGTCTCAGGTCTCCGACATCGTTGCATGGCAGATGCCTGAGAGACCACCATCGCGCAGCAAATCCAAGCAGTCGGAGCAGTCTCAGATGTGGTGATGCTGTGGAGTTTACAAGTCGCAGAGAGGCGAGAACGTTCAGCAGAATCAAGATCGTCTGCATTGAGAGTCCATCAGGAGTTTCTGATTACGCTCCTCGAAGGTATCCGCGCTGCTGCTTTCCGAGACTGCGGGGAATGCTGAAAGCCGGGCGCTGGTAAGACAGTAGTAACGGATCAACCGGCGACGGTGAGTACATGTGCGTAGGGTGCCCACACTTATGGTCATATACAGTTGGCACGATGAGCGTGCACCTGGCACCATGGCTACCCGATTTGTTCTAGGCCCCGATCCCTACTTGGATGCGGAAGCAGATTGGCAGGCCCGGCCTGGACCCTGCAATCCTATGGGGGATGATCTCCTGTCACATCCGTTGCTTTGATCGTGAGTGCGAGGAAGCCCTTGTTCCTATTGCTCTGCGTTGGTTGCTGATGACCCTGATGCTGCGATACATGTAGGAGACAACGGCGTTGCTTTACCTACTGCTACTTCGCTCGTGCCCATTGGGACTTGCACTGCATGCATTATTCCCAACCCTGCTGTCGCCACTCCCCACGACTGGCGCACCAAGCACTCTGCCAATCCCCACCCTCAGCACCCCCAGCACCCCCAGCACCGCCAGCACCAGCAAAATCCCGCACCAGCACCAGCACCAGCACCAGGCAGCCACACCAGCACCAGCATCAGCGGTCGCCATCTTCATCACCGTGAACTATCATATATCATGACCACTGCCATCAGCATGACCTGTGCCATCGGCGTCACCGTCACCACACGCTTGATCATCACCATCATCAGTACAATCCGTAAGCGATTGCAAGTCGTAGAACGCCATTGAAGGGACTTGCGCCACATGGCCATGCCTGGACGACCGGGTCTGCCGTGGCCGCTTGGGCCTCGGATCGAGGCTTCCAGCAGGGAGTGCTGTGAGTTGCTTTCGTCTGGATTTTTGCGCGAGGTCGAAAATCGCTGGGATGCCCAGAATCTGCTGGCGTAGTGATACCCTTTCTGGCACTCTATCCAAGGATGTGCAGCACTTCGCTGGCTCCATCCGGCAGGATTATTGTGGGTATGGGATGAAAATGAGAACGAAATTTGATTGGGGTTGGGACTTTTGCCCTATTGTTCCAGGAGGACGGACAGCCGAACTACCAGGAGTTGATCCGGTTCTGCGACTACCATGTCGTGGGCTCTGGGCAGGCCTTGCAACTGCCTCAAGCTATGTCTCTACCATCCATTGCTGCCATCCGGCGATTGAGCTGGCTGTTGCTTACATAGGTTTTTGTCTGCTGTCCATCGCCACTGCGCCTATCTGAATATGTGATCGCCATTTCTCGAGCTTCCTGCCTTAGCAGTTGAGCCAATGGTTCGTCGGGAGCTCAGCCAAGGACAAGCGCTAAGGGATCAAGCCAGGGTTATCCAAGACTTCCCTCTGCTGGGTTGTGATACTGGGGCTCACCGCCTCCATCATGACTTCGAGGTTTATGCAAACTTTATCGCAGTGTAGACTGGTGGCGCCATGCCCCCAAGACCACTCTCCTTTCTTGTTCCAACAAGGCTTTGCGCAGATTGAGCCTGATGGGGGCGGGCCCCCGAAGTACGCCCTCCTGCAGGCGCAGGGCGTTTTGTTTTGTTTTTTGGGGGGGTTTAGGGTTGAGGGTTTAGGGTTAGGGGTCCTTCAGATCGAGCCGCACTCCATCGGATAGCGCGAAACTTCAAGCAGGACTTTCTGTTCGAGAGGCCCGAACCTGTGAGGTGCCTTCGTTAAGAGGTTCCCGTCACGGAGTACTGGCCGCCCCGAGTCGGAGCAGTATAATGCAATATAGTATACTATACTGGTGTATTTCTAGTATGTAGTATATAGTATGTACTATGTACCATACAAGATATAGTATAGTGTACATAGCATACTGTATTAGTGTCTCGTATACAGTCTATAGTATATAGCATAGATCATACAGGATCCAGCATGTAGTTTAGTTTGGGCTAGTATCTTATACTTATCGTCTAGTCTAGAACCAGTATGGTACGTCCAGCATAGCGTAGCCCTGCGGACCAGGCGGATGGGCCGCCGCCTCAGCTTCACCAGCGAGAGCGGATCGAAGAGCAGGGCCTCCACCCAAAACCTCAAAATCATTTAGGGTTTTATCGGGTTTAAGGTCTTTCTTGTTTGGGGATTTTCGAGGGTTTCCGGGCAGCCTAGAGACGTCCCAGGCCCGAAACTCCCACTCGCAAGGCGACTCTGAAAGAGTAGACAGGGCTTGAAAAGACCCTACCCGTCAACCCAAATTCCGAGCATGCAGAACTCTCATGGAGCCCCTGGGGGGGGGGGGGGGA